AGGTCCGTCCATAAGAACGTGTGTATTTTAATATTTGACAGATGTCGTTTGTAGTCTGTCGCGAGCATTGTATTCAACACATTAGAGCGTAATCGTACTTATTCGTACAAATAAGCATGTTTGCAAAGTATTATTAAATGCTAATTGGAGTACCTAAATGTATGTACCTAATATTGGCATTTGTATTGTAGTACTGGTGTAATTGTTTATCGTGAATACATAACAAACATACATTTATACCCTAACTTAATAGCGGGATTCTGTAACCAGTCTCTATTTAAGAGATTTTGAGGTAAAGTCTCAATTTGTGACTAGTTACTATTCACTAAACAGTCTCTAGCGTTATAGCCCTGACAGACGAGCAAAATTAATGCGCCTTAAGCAACGCAAATGTGAATTGAAATTTTATTCTGACTGACGGCAGACTTGTGCATTTAGACAGCTGATTGTGAAATTTGTTTATTTATTAAATAAGAGAAATAAATAAGAGGAGATTATTAATGGCAATTTTGTTATTCATAGAAAATCAAAAAGAATATAACGAAAAAATCTGTTTATTACTAAATGAGTTAAAAGAAAATAGAGTGAAAGTAAAAGCAATTCTTGAATGTAACGCAAGCTTAAGAGCTGGGATTACAATCGCTCAGCCACACATACGAAATGTTTGGAAATTCGTAAGTAAATAAATATTTTAATTTGGGATTGAAATAAAAAAAATTGTGTTTCAAGTACCGAAGTGGTAAATTTTGGGAGCACGATATCCCTGCTATGGACGAAGCAAGGTTCAAGGAAAACTTTCGCGTAGATAGAAGCGCTTTCAAAAAATTGTGCGAAAAAGTAAAATTTATCGGTAAAATGGATAGCAACATGCGGCGCTGTATCCCACTTGTAAAAAGAGTAGCTATTGCACTCTTTTCATTGGGTTCGGCAGCAGAATATAGAACAGTTGCTAGTTTGTTTGGCATTGGGCGCAGCACTGCTGACGAAATTGTGTTATATTTTTGCCATGCGGTTTGCGATAGTCTTGCGGATTGCTTAATGCATATCCCCCACATCCACAAGAACTAAAAAGAACTGTAGAAGGGTTCAAAATGGTGGGATTTTCACAATGTTGTGGTGCTGAAGATGGTTGCCATATCGAAGTTCAACCCAAAAAAGACGAAGCCATAGATTATTATAACTATAAAGGATGGTATTCGGTCATTTTGTTGGCAAGTTGCGATCACAGGTAAATTTGTGACTACATTGATTTTCATACACATGTGTTAACATTTTTTATTACTTTCAGATCAAAGTTTACATACATAAACATAGGATCCACAGGACGAAGCAATGATTGCTATATATTTGAGAGGAGCTCTCTTAAACATTTCCATGAGCACGCTGGTATTTTTTACTAAAATAACCAAGCAATTGAAGGTGCCGGTGCTTCTTATTGGCGACTCAGCCTGTGGCTAATCAATCTCCAGTAGAAAGGCTCTATAACTACCGACTGTCCAAATGTCGCTTTTAGTCAGCTTAAATCGCGCTTCCGTAAAAGTGGAAGAGGCTTGCAAGTATCTCCTAAAAATGTTAGTATTATAATTAGAGCGTGTTGCATTTTGCACAATTTTCTAAAGATTGAGAACGTTGAAGCTCCTTCAGCTTGGATTCAAGACGCAGCAGAAGATGCAACAAGACATCAACCCAATCATACAACAAGATTAGGAGAAAATGATTCAACAGCGATCGCAATGAGTTTCCAAAATGGTACAAAACACTTTACTTACCGCAGTAGATATTTGTATTCCAATACATTTCCAAAATTAATATTTAGTTTAAATCCATTTTATTATTACATTTTTTCGAAATTTTTAAATTCATTTTTATAAAATTAATATTCAATTTAAACTAATTTCAATCACATATTTACATTTTTCTAAATTATTTTTCATAATACCTATAAACTCTTTTGTATTACTTCTTTCTTCTTCGATTGCAGTAACAACTCTCTCAGTCAATATTTATCCGTCCTCCACCACCGTCTTCATCAATTCGTTTTGTTCTTTTGCCACTTTTATTAGTTCGCCCATGTAATTTCTCTTTTTACTTGTAGATGCACCCGCTGCTGATGCCGAGCTACCTAATGGCAACATTAATGGCGAGCTCGTCAATGTAATTACTGGCGTACACACCGGTTCAGCCGACATTGGTTCTGGCTCTGGCGACATTGGTTCTGGTGATCCTATAGCCATAGATGACTGGAACGAAAGTAATGTTGAATTCGATATGTTTTAAGAAAAAATTATTTGAATAATAAACGTGTAAAACTCAGCTTACCACAGTAAATGATTCGTATACTTCAGCAGTATTGGCTGCTGTCAGTCCGATAATTTGATGGACCGCATCAAAATGTTTCCACATCGATGGGCTATACCCGGGGGCCCAACTTTTTTCTTTTCCTCTCTGTAATTTAACACAAGTTAATAATGTTAACAATGTTATGTGGATACATATGAACCTATATTTTTGTGTAAGATTCCGTATTTTAACATGTACTCTTTTGCAGTAAATTTGTGCCCCATTTTTACAGATACGCACAGATATGTCGGCATAGTTGTGCAAATTACGTTTAGCCCTTCGCAAGTCTCCGGCTCGTTCCCGCCACAAATCTATTAGCACAACTTCATCACTATTTGCCCACATCGTTCTCTGTTTGTTCACTCCATTAATTTATAAATATACTGGCACATAACATAATTAGCAATATAAAAACAGCTTACCTTTAGCGCTTTCTTTAAATTTTTTGCTTACGTTTTTATCTTCTTCCTTCTGTCAATCACCATTTACAATAGCAAAAATCTAAATTTTGGTAACTTTAGCTAAATGCGCGAAATGCTTGTACAATACAAACCTGCATTAACATGTGTCAAATGCGCAAATAAATGTAACTTAAGCCCGCTAAGGCAACTTAGCGCTGTCGTCCGTCAGAGCTATTAGTTTCAAAACATATCCTCAAATTTGAGGTATTAAATATATAGAGTAGAAAGAGATCACACTTTTAATAGATCATATATTTTAACTATTAATTTTAACTTTTTTTACCAGTTTACTGTCACTGAGTGCGGTCAACACCCAAGTGTACTCCGCAATTGCGACATTTTGCAAACAAACCAATCTGTGGTAATCCGTGGGTGCGTGCGCCGTGAGAGGCATTGATGTTGTCAACACGTTTCACATCGATTTGGATTAATGGTAGCAATTGTTTTAATCGAAGATTTGGATTTTTAAACAATAACAAATTAAATAATTAATTTTCGCGGGGGAAAAAAGTGCACGTCAGCTGTTTCTTTTACACATTATTTCTGCGTATGTAAAATCAGCTATTCTGTTCTAACAGTTTCCAATACAATCAGCACTGCCATACTGCTGAAATAAAAACAAACAAAACTTCTTGTTCAAACTGCATTATAGAGCAAACGGCAGGTTTCTAATACCCAGTAGAGAAATCATCTTGAATCTCAAAATGTGTTGCTAAGCGCCTGCACCAATTTGGTCTATTCTTTTTTCTAAATGTTCGTTGAGGTTCAAACCCCCTAAAACAGCCCTTTCTTTTTCCCATACAAACAAATGAATATTTGTTGGTTAGTAAGGCTAAGAGAATGGCTACACCAACCTTGATGAAATTTTCAGAGGTTGTTCTCTGTGGATCGGGAAAGGTTTGGAAATAAAAAAAAATTGTATGCTTTTCGTGAGAAAAATTGGAAAATTGGACAATTCCAAAAAGTAACTTTTTTCCATAAAATTTTTTCTCAATTTTTGTTTGCTTTGTTTTCCATATTTTGATTTGTAAATTATTTGAATCTTTCAATTTCGGTCGCTTGCTTTTTTATTCCTGCTATTAAAAGGGTAAATTATTGAAAATTATTCAGAGAAAACTTTATGTGTGTTTCAAGAATTATGTATGGCGTACAATCAGCAAGCGATCGTCACGATGTCACAGCACGACTTTTGAAATAACAGTTACGACGTTTGAAGGACTTTATCTTGAAGCAAGATATATGTGGTACTGTTAGAGGCTAGATGTACTCTCCAGAGTGGTAGAGGTTAGAGGTTTGCCGGACGTAAACATTCTTCTTTGGGTGGTGGATGGTGGATCCACCAGGTCAAATTGATGAAATCTCTTCTGCCACTTCTGCGGAAATTCCTGATGCAGACAGAGAAAGATGCAGTCATCAAAGGAAGCAACATAGCGGTTATTGGTCTTGAACGATACGATCGATACGTGAACCGCAATAAAGTGCTTTGTAAGATATTTACTTTTGTAATTCATGAATGTTTTCCGACTGATGTGCCTCTCCAGCAACAAAAATAACATTGACGAGTTTCTTCTCAACTTTCGTCAGTGATCCGTTTGCGAGAACATTGCTCTATATCTAAATGCCTTGATATTATATAGTTACGCAGAAAGCAAGGCCAGGTGTGTTTTCAACTAATGCATTAGCACGAATTAACACAATCCACGCAAAAACGATGATTGTTTCTACAATCGGTTGCTATTGATTAATGTACGCGGTTCAACTTTATTTGAGTCAGAGGGTACTGTGAATAGTACGTTGTGTTCTACTTCGATTGCAATGAAGGTCGCACACTTCTCGCGATGATCATTTTGACATACCAGCCCTCAAACCCGCGTCAATTATGAGATACCAAGAAAAATGACATTGCCGAAGACATTTTATATCGTATTCGCTAAGAATTGCAAATGGGTCAACTCCGGTTGATACTTCCCGTGCTTTGATATCAATTCCATTTGCCGTTTATCAATTCATGAAAGATGAACTCATCATGAATTGCTGCCGAAAAAAACCCATGCTGTTGACTAAAACTGGAGGATTCAAAGTCGAATTACGGGAAACTTGCGCTAATACAAATCGATCGATCATCTTGACAATGAAGACGTCGCCGTGATTTATCCAGTGAAACTTCTAAAAAACTTTGGCATCATTTGCGTCTCAAATTTCGATCTGTCATTATTATGTTTCGGAATCTTCATGCGCCGAAACTGTGTAATGGAACCCGACTGATTGCGACGCAGTTATCGATACAAGGAGGCAGAATGCTTGATTCTACAAATTCCTTTGAGTTCTAACGATATGCCAGTTCAAACGTACTCCTTTTCCAGTGAAAATTGCATTTGAGGTGACAATCAACAGAACACGAGGATAGTCGAAAAGTGTGTGGCACAAATTTGGAAATGCTATGTTTTTCACACAGGCAGATATACGTGGCCTGCTCACGAGCTGGAAAACCATGTTCTCTGTACACCGAAAAAGAAATGATAAATTTAACTTTCTTTTCATTTCAAAACACATAATTTCACGCAGGACAACGACTGCGGGTCAGCTAGTCCTATCTTATATATAAAAATGAACCGCAAAGTGTGTTGGTAAACGCATAACTCAACATCGCCTGGACCAATTTTTCCAATTCTTTTTTTTTTAAATATTTGTTGAGGTTGAAGGATGGTTTTTATGGCAAGAAAAATTCGAATAATTTCCGAAAAACCCCTAAAAACAGCCATTTTCTTTTTCCAATACACCCCAAAGAATGTTTGTTTGTTAGTGACACTGCACCAATCTTGATGAAATTTTCAGAGGATGTTCGTTGTGGAGCGAGGAAGGTTTGCAAACTAGATAATTAAAAAAAAAGTAACTTTTTTCTATACAATTTTTTTTTCAATATTTTGATTTGTAAATTATTTTAATCGTTCAACTTCGGTCGCTTGCTTTTTTATTCCTGCTATTCAAAAGAAAAATTATTTAGTGAAAACTTTATGTGTGTTTCACGCAAAGAGATCAATTGCAGATTGAAAACTGCTGCGAAGGCACGAAGAGGTCGCCCTATCTCGGTCGGGCGAGGCAAGACAAGAAGTACTCCCAGATTACGATGACATACGTGCGATGCCACAGCACGACTTTTTTGCAAACAACAGTCACAATGTTTGATGGACTTTATCTGGAAGCAAGATATATGTGGTGCTGTTAGAAGCTAGATGTACTCTGTTGAGTGGCAAAAGAGCGGTTTGTCGCACGCACACATTCTTCTTTGTATGGTGGTTACACCAGATCAAATTGATGAAATCATTTCTGCGGAAATTCCTGATGCAGAGAAAGATCCAGGATTATACGAAGTGGCACAAACCAATATGGTTCATGGACCTTGCGGACACTACAAACCCATTTCGGTTTGTATGTCTGACAATATATGCACGAAACACTATCCACGTTGTGCGTCTCGGAGTTAATTTGGAGAATGGCCAAAGAGTGTATCTCAACCCAGAGAATACAGTACAGACAGTCGAAGCACCGCCAGCAATAAAATTAACATTTACGAGTTTTTCCTCAAGTTTCGTCATTGATCCGTTTGCTAGATGATTGCTCTATTCGGAAATACCTTAATAATATTATACATGGAATGCATCGTCGTAGAAATAGTTGAGTAGAAAGCAAGGCCAACCCGAAGTTTGACTTCCACGTGTGTTCTCAACTAATTCCTTTCGACGAATTTATACAATCCCGCCGAAAAACGACGATTGTTTCCACCTTCGGTTGCTATTGATTAATGTACGCGGTTTAACTTTATTTGATTGCGTACTGTTAATGGTACGGTATGTGCAAGTTTTGGAGAAGTAAGCCAGCAATTACAATTGCCGGAACAAGTTAATCACTGGAATGAAAAGTTCGCACCCTTTTCGCGAAGATCATTTCGACATATCCACATCAATTAAGGGATACGAACAAAAATGGCATTTCCGAACACATTTTACATCGTCACATGGGTCAATTTCAGTTGATAGTTCCGGTGGTTCGATATCAATTCCATCCCGCGTTTATCAATTTACGAAAAATGAACTCATCACGAATGTTCGGACCTTAGCCAAATTATCGTAACTACTACTCCTTAAGTGTGCGCGCAATGTTAGCTACCAAAAATGCCAATGTTTTTGACTTGAACTGGAAGATTCAAAGCAAGTTCCGGGATACTTGCGCTCATACAAATCGATCGATCGTCTTGGCAATGAAGACGTCGCCGTGAATTATTCAGTGGAATTTCAAATTTCTTTGGAGAGGCTTGGTATGCCTTATTATGTTTCGCAATCTTCATACCCCGAGGATGTAAGTTAGCACTGTTAGCAATCACGCAGTTATTGCGAACAGAAGTTAGAGACAAAATAAATAAGTAAATAGAAACTATAAACGAAAAATGTAAATTTAGCAATGTAAGCAAAAGTACATTTTGTATTATCTTTAAGCCGTATGTATGCAAAAATATGTTACCTATAAGACAATATTGTAGCTAAATATATAAGCGAAATTATAATCTAAAAAGCCGAATTCGATAAATCAATCGGTTTCAGTTGAATACGAAAATTCAAGTAGCTCTTCATCAACTAAGTGATTTTTATCAAAAATATAAAAAGTCTGTGCAAAAAAAAAAGAACCCTAAAAATAATTGAATAAGAATAATAATCTTCCCGTGTTGCACGAGACAAACCAAATAAATTCACTATTAAAAGCCTGCACAAGAGAAGAAGACGCCCCAGTGAGTTAGAAAATGGGGTTAGTCCCCACAAATTAGTAAGTAATCACTTATTTTCTGCACCAGCAACGGAAGCAGATTTGACTGAAATGAGAAGACTATCAGAATGTGTAAGGATTTAGAGTTTTTGAAGGAAATCCTGTCCAATATATTTTAAGGATCCAGAGTGTGGAGTCCATTTTAAAGGACAACGAGATAGTCAAAGGAAAGCCAATTTTTCGTGCCATCATGCAGCACATTTGAAACAATATCAGGGGTCCTGCTGAAACCATTTTAATTTCCTACAATATTTTTAATGATGACTGGGAGGAAATTAAAACTTGTCTCTCTTTACACTACACAGACAAGCGTGATCTTAGCACTGTAGAATACGAATTTACGAATTTAAGTAAAAAATGTGAGCGTATACCAATTATATGCTAGAATAAATTATCAGCTCTCTCCCAAATACATTCAGAGGAAGCTATATGCGCCCTGATAGATAGCTATAGAAATAGGACACTTGACGTTTTCGTCAGGGGGTACACGATGAACTCCCCAGGATGTTAATCATCCAAAAACCACAAGCATTGCCAGAAGCTTACGCCTCTTGTTTAGAGATTCAAAACCTAAATTTCAGGAAACATACAATCCAAAACTTTACATAATATGACTTATAAATGCACAAATTATTCTACATTGCCAAAATCACCAAATAAGCTTAATGTCCACGAAAAAATTCAAATTTATAATTCAATATACCTATTCAAATATATTGAACAGGCTTATCTTCGCCAATGATGAGGTAGTACAAAATATATAATATGTACATAAATAAACACATAAAAATATATGCATTTATATGCAGCATACAAACATATAATAAACCTATTTACTCAGGTTTGGGCAATTGACTACAAATGTACATGTGCACTTGAAAACAGCCCAAACCATGCAACATAAATTACACAGTACAACAGCTAACCTGGGGGTGAGACATTCCAAGTCGGGGAGATGGTACTAGGTCAGTATAGTAAAGCCCTCCAAGGGTTTGGCATTGGGTGCCATTGGGATAGATACCGAGAGTTGAAGAGGGAAGCGAGACGCATTTGCAGACAGAAAAAGAAAGAGGCCGAAATGCGAGAGTATGAAGAGCTTGATAAGCTGGCCGATAGGGNGAAGTTTAGGCTCAACCAAAAGAAGAGAAAAGAAGCATAAGACTCAATCATTGCGAAGTGAAAAGTGTTAAAATTATAAAGAAGCATAGGCTCAACCAAAAGAAAAGAAGAAGCATAAAGTTCAAGTTTTCGTTAAAAAGTGATGCAATAAATGTGTACAGTCATGGCGTGTTTGCAGAATTTCGAATTTGTTCGTCAGAAACTGAGAGCAAGCCGAAAGGAATGTATAACGGCCCTACACAAATTAATTTTCGAAACAGAAGGAGGTAGACTAAACCGAAAACGCTTACGGGAATTTACTGGCTTTGAATTCGACGAATACGATGAGCGCTATACACAGAAATTGATCTACATAGAAAAACAGTTTGAAAGCTGTCGATTTGCTATAAATCTGTAACGTATTAGGTTTGATATGCAGTGTAAGTAATTTGACACTACACAAAGAACTACGTTGCTATGCGCAGCAGCAGAAAACGACGATATCGAATGTGACGACGAAGATGGCGATGATGACAAAGATGCCGAAGAAAATGACAACGACGATGATGATGATGTTATGTGCAGTTTTGACGACGCTGGCGCAAGTAGCATCACATTTGAATGTCAACAACGGCAAGAACAAAGCAGAAATGATGAAAGCAAACGTGTTGCAAGAAATATGACGGACAGAAACGACGATAAACCTACAGTGTACAAAAGAGGGGAAGAAACAGAAAAAACACAAATGTCTCGTTCTTCAATGAACTTTCGTGACATAGAAGACTCTATTCGTTGGTTTGATGGAAGTGATAAAATCGATGTCGAAGTGTGGTTAGGCGAATTCGAAGAAACTTCTACTTTAATGCGGTGGGACGAATTCTAAAAGTTTATATTTGCCAAAAAATCTCTACGAGGTTTGGCTAAACTGTTTATTCAAAGTGAACGCGGAATCATTTCGTGGCAAAAATTAAAAGTGGCTTTAGAAGAAGAATTTAAAACAATTGTAAACAGTGCGCAGATACACAAACAACTTACTTGTAGAAAAATAAAAAAGGATGAAAGTGTTCAAGAATATTTTTTGTGTATGAAGCAATTAGCAATGCGTGGTAACGTTGAAAACAATGCATTGATACAATACGTCATCGATGGTATAAGTGATTTGAATTTAAATAAAACAGTGTTATATGGTGCATTAGACTTAAAACAATTTAAAGAAAAACTAAAAGTGTATGAATCGATTCGAAAAAATAACAAAGAAACCATAACTTGTTTTAATTGTGGTATAAAAGGGCACAAGAGCTCAGAGTGCAAAGACAAAGCTAAAGGCACCAAGTGTTTCCAGTGCAAAAAATTTGGGCATATTTCAAAAGACTGCCCACAAGTTGAAAAAAAAGAGAAATGTAATACTCGGTTGTGGGCCAAAAGCAGCATTATGAACAAGGAACTGTTTATCGATCGAAAGAAATACTATTGCTTATTCGACACGGGAAGTAAATTTAATTTAATTACGGATAATGTTTTCAAGTCGCTACGAGAACCTGTGTTGAAAGAAACAAACATTTSTTTAATAGGTTTTGGTGAACGTACGGCAGGTAATAATATTAAACCAATTGGAGAACTTAGTATTGATATAAGTATYGAAAATCAAGATTTTTGTTTAAATTTTTTGGTGGTACAATCAAAATTAATGGACATTGACGTAGTGATCGGCGAAGATTTTTGTTTGCAAGCAGATATACAAATAAATCGTGATGGACTTTCTATTCGAAAAATTCCTTGTGACAACGTAGAAAACTTTTTTAATATGATGCAAGTGGACTCAATAGTAGACAAATTTGATATCGATGAAACAAATAGTGTGGAAGCGAAAGAAAAAGTGCGTAATATGGTTTGCGAATATAAGCCGAATAAGTGCAAATCAACAAATGTGGAAATGAATATTGTTTTAAGTGATGAAACTCCAATATCGTTTAGACCACGTAGACTGCCATTAACACAAAGAAGTATTGTTGATGATCAAATAGACCAATGGATCAAAGACGGCATAATTGAAAATTCAAATCCTGATTTTAGTAGTCCTATGGTTTTAGTAAAAAAAAAGAGACGGTAGTCCAAGATTGTGTGTAGATTATAGACAATTAAACAAAGTAATTGTAAAAGATAGATTTCCATTACCTTTGTTTAAAGATCAGCTAGACAGATTGCAAAACGCAAAAATATTTAGCACAATCGACTTAAAAAATGGATTTTTCCATGTACCTGTGTCTGAATCTAGCCGCAAATAACCGTAATTCGTTACACATGGCGGACAGTATCAGCTTTTAAAAGTTCCATTTGGCTTGTCGAACTCTCCGGGTGTTTTCCAAAGACATGTAAATGCAATTTTCCGTGATTTGATGCGTAAAGAAATAGCTCTCCCTTACATAGACGACATAATTGTACAAGCTATGAACGAAAATGATGCAGTGCGTAACTTAGAAGAAGTGTTGAACCAGTGTAAAGACTATGGACTTGTAATTAATTGGAAAAAATGTCAATTTTTAAAAAAGCGTGTAGAATTTTTGGGTCATGTGATTGAAAAACAAAAAATATCACCATCTCCAAGTAAAATCGAAGCTTTAGTTAAGTACCCATTGCCGAAAAATTAAAAACAATTACAAAGTTTCCTGGGCTTAGCCGGATACTTTCGAAAGTTTGTACCATCATTTCCGTTAATTTCCAAACCATTATCTGATCTGACGAAACAAGGTAAAAAGATCGAGAATCGAGACGAAATAGCTGCAATTAATTTACTTAAGAAAATTCTGAGCGAAAAACCGGTGTTAGGTATATTCAATCAGAAGTATGAAACTTAAGTTCATACAAACGCTTCCGCTGACGGCTATGGTGCCGTATTACCGCAAAAACTACCAGATGACAACGAATTACATCCGATTTATTACATGAGCAAAAAGACGTCTGATGCTGAACGTATTCCAGTCACGAATTAGAGATATTAGCTGTAATAGAAGCGCTGAAAAAGTTTCGGGTGTACTTATTGGGTATACACTTTAAACTAATTACTGATTGTAACGCTTTAACAAAAGCGCTTGAGAAAAAGGATTTTAATACAAGAGTCGCGCAATGGATCCTTTTTCTGCAAGAATACGACTATCAGGTAGAACATCGATCTTTAAGTCGAATGAGGCACGTTGACGCTCTTAGCCGCAATCCAATAATGATGATAAGCGATAATGATTTTCTTGTTTGCTTACGACGCGCACAAGAATATGACGAAAAACTGAATACAATGAAGCAAATTCTACAAGAGAAAAAAGTTACAACGACTATTTTGAAAAAGATGGTATTCTTCACAAAATAGTCAACGATATCGAATTATTCGTAGTACCCAAGAGCATGCAAAGAGAGGTAATTCGACGCGCTCATGAAAAGGGGCACTTTGCGATTAAAAAAACGAAAGATTTGATTTGTCAAGAATTTTTTATTCCAAAGCTTGAAGAGAAAATAAAAATGCATATCGACAATTGTGTAGCATGCATTGTGTCAAATAGAAAGATGKGTAAAAAAGAAGGTGAATTGCATCCGCTTCATAAAGGAGCAAATCCTCTCTACACATACCACGTAGATTTTCTTGGTCCACTAGAGTCAACCAATAAACTGTATAAACATATATTCRCCGTAATTGATTCGTTTACGAAATTCGCTTGGTTATACCCAACAAAGACAACTTCATCACACGAAGCTATCAGCCGTTTGAGAATACAAAGTACAAYATTCGGAAATCCVTTACACATAGTCACAGACCGTGGATCAGCTTTCACGTCTGACGATTTTCGGCGTTATTGTGAAGACGAGAACATTAAACATGTTAAAATAACGACTGGCTTACCGCGTGCCAATGGTCAAATGGAGCGACTAAACACGATTATTATTAGTGTTTTAACGAAACTAATCAAGAATGATCCGACGAAGTGGTACAAATTCACAGACAGAGTCCAACAAGTAATAAATTCCACTTATAACAGAAATATTGACATGACACCTTTCGAATTATTAACGGGCGTTAAAATGCGTACAGCTGACGACTTAAACATCAAACAACTCATCGAAGAACAAATAAGGTCACAACTTCAAAGGAACAAATATTAAAGATGGAAACTGAAAACAAAATGACATACAATCTTAGACGCAAAGAAGCTAACCAATATGCAGTAAACGATCTAGTCGCCGTGAAGAGAACGCAGTTTGCTGGTGGTCTCAAATTAAAACCAAAATATTTGGGTCCATATCAAATTACTAAAGTCAAAGCTAATAATACCTATGATGTTAAAAAAGTTGGCATAACCGAAGGTCCAAATCAAACGACGACTTGTCCAGAATTTATAAAACCATGGTCCAATTTTCATAGCGAAGACGACGGCTTATTCGCGGTCGAAAACAATGCAGGATGGCCGAGTTGTGGGGTTTGAGCGATACGGAAACCCTTTTTCGCAAGAAGGTTCGAACAACAGACTCCGAACCAGAAAATGCGAATGCTAGACGACGACTTGACGAGAAAACGCGTAGCCGTGCGCATGTGACGAGTTGATCTACTTGTAATCGGAGTATATATTTTTAATTAAACTACTAAACCATTTTGTCTTTGTAATAAAAAACTTTGTGACGACTTAAAGTATAGTCAAAGAATCTTTTAATAAAATTAATTGTTAATCGTTTTGTAATACTCATTTTCATCAATAAATAAAACTTGTACCTTTTAAATTTGATTTAAACAAAAGGAAGTAACTGTGTAAGTGCGTGGGTACAATTCCCACATAAATACGTACATACGTATATGTATATCTTATCAAACCTACATTAATTAAATAATTAGGTATAATATAAATATGATTTTATTATATATTTCCAAAGATTTAAGGAATTCATCATGAAATAATTTAATTTGTACGTACATATGTATGTATGTATGTATATAAATTATATGCAGAGTCATTTGCTCATTGTAAATATACGAATCTGTAAGCGTACATTCCTTAACTTCGGAAATAGCATAAGWTTTCTCATTTCACACTGAAAATGCTCAATTCTGTTATTTTCGTGTCCCCTGATGTTAAGTGGTGAAACACTCTAATAATTTTCTGTGGCGAAACACGCTCATCCAAAACAGCAAATATCCCTAAATTTTTGACATCGTGAACCTTCTCTATAAATATACGTTCTCTGCTTGTATATTAAAAATATGTATGGAGGTGAAATATATGTATTTCCATTAGGTAAATATGCGAATATGTATGCATGTGTGTCTTATATTTATTTTATGCAATGATATTATTGTTTGCTTTCGCTTACAAATTTTAAGCAATCCTGCTTATTACTTGATAAAGTATAAGAGGTATTGCCGGATACAAGTGCAAGTAAATTCTTGAGTATTTATTTTATCAAGCGTATTTTTTATTATATTAAATTAAGATGAACATAATACGCTCCTTTGTACTCTGAATGGTATTTGGTAGTTTAAGTTTTCTGAGGACTTTATTTTTGTTTTTGTCACTTCACCAGAAAACCATTCTTCACATTTTTGTCACCTCACTGATATACATACATGTATAAATAAATATGTATGGATAATCTATCTTTTTTTTCTGTTTGTTTGAGTCACTAGGTTTTATTCTGTTGTGTTCGTTTCTGCACTTTCTTACCGAACTTTCTTTTGTTTTCTCGAAGGACCATGAACATTTAACGACTCAATTTATTGGCTAATACAAACCAATGATTTCAATATGCACTCACACTCGCACGAATGTTTAAAATGAAAAAAGGTTATTTATTTAAAAGTTACAATTTATTTAGAGTTATCGTTTGTTTACAGTACGATGTTTTGCG